GTGGTCAAATTCGGGCGCACCATCAATACTAGCAAAACTGTCTGTCTTTTTCAGCCTTCACCGGAGGTACAAGCTGCAATATTGCCGCGAATCAGCATTGGTGCTGAAGTATTGGAAACCACCTCCCGCTTCAGCTACCTTGGCAGTGTGATGTCGACTGACCAGCAGCTACACAGTGAGCTTCGTATCCGCGTCTCGAAGGCAGCGGCGGCCTTCGGGAAGCTAGAGTACCGAGTGTGGAACAACCATCAGCTTACTATTGGCACGAAGCTGATGGTGTACAAATCCATGGTGCTGTCGGTTCTTCTAAACGGCAGCGAAGCGTGGACGATGTACCGGCGGGATATGCGATATCTCGAGCGGTTCTATCAACAGTGTTTGCGGCGGATTCTGCGCATCGGATGCGGCGACAGAATTGCTGACACCGAGGTGTTGAGCGGAAGTGAAATGCGTGCAGTGGACTGCCTACTTTTGCTGAGACACCTGAAGTGGCTCGGTTATGTGAGCCGTATGGATTCGACGCGAATACTGAAACAACTATTATATCGTTAGCTGAGTATCGGGAAGCAGCATGTGGGGAAACCGAAGCTTCCTTACCAGGACACGATCAAAGTGAGCCTCTCACGTTCTAATCTTGGTTGCAGGTCATGGGAATCGAAAGCTACTGATAGGCGTGCATGGCGCAATCTGATCACGGAGGCCGTTGTCGAAGTGCAGGAGAAAGACCTCATGCATGCAGAGAAGAGTCAGGAAATTGCGGAAGCGACAGGCGCCGATGTGTTGTACTCCATCGACGTCCAGCGCATGGTGCTGTAGCACATGAGATTGCGAGTGCCTGGGTCTGGCAGGCCTAGTGAGCCACGAGCGAGGCCACTTGGGGCCACCACCGAAGCGACGACGGGTCCTGCAGAGAACCTAGGCAGAACGGGCACAAGTTTGTAGGTAAGCTGCATTCGATTTATGAACCGCGTGCCTGCATGCTGAGTCTCTTTATTTCAGGTGGTGGGTTTGCTATGTTTTCCTAATGCTTTTTTCATCTCCCATTAATTTCTACTTGATCTATGTTCTGTAAACTTACACCTCGCTTAAGCCAATTGTAGTTAATTTCGATAACATTTAGGCGATTGTGGCAATTTCGTAAGATATAATTTCTGACTTCTTGCACTTATCACCGATTTGTTCGTAAGCAATTTGTTTCACACGCGCATTACGTGAAGATTTACGTCACTGTATCTGTATGCATTATTCGACTTATTTTATTTGATCTTTTCGTTTCATTGATTGGATATTGCTTGATACCCCCGTGTGGTTGCGCTTGATGTGGATGTTGACATGGTGCCTACCTGTCCATTACCCACTACGTCGTCCATACTAGCTCCATGAGACAACTGGTCGTTGCTGGAGAGGACGGGGTGCACGGTCCTTGTGGCCGTGCTAGGCTCGAAGAGTGGTTCCATACATTCAGTGTGGAGCGGACTACGGTCCAATCACCGCCTTGTGTGCGGTTGATTCCCCAAATACAGCGTGCTTGTGTTTGCTGCGAAGGAGTGTGAGCTGGCTCCGTTGATGAAACGTGGCTCCCATCCGCATGCCTCCCGGTCTTATTCCTTCGGGTTTACACTGGATATGGGGTGTGTGGTAGGAGTTGTGGGTGGTGCAGCGCAAGCCATCCATGGCCCCTCTGTAGGCGCAGGCGTCCTGTGGCTTGCCACAGTGACAGGCAAATCCGAAACCGGATGCCGCCAAGGATATATATATATATATATATATATATATATATATATATATATATATATATATATATATATATACCGCTTTGACTTCACCGGTGTAAAACCTAATTTTGTAGACAATTTTCATGTAAAATTACATGAAATGCAAACATTTTTTATACAGACCCAAAGGGTCGTCAGTTAACCAAATTGATCTTAGTGCGCTGTGACACACCTTCGGTTACGTTACAGTTGTAGTCGTACGTGCGTACAGGTCAACTGCAGTCCGTCCTGGCCAAGGAAGGCTCAACGCGTGAGTGAACCGTTTCTGTGTACACAGTGCTGGTTCGTACAACCGAATGGCAATGGCTTCTGCGGCGTCTAATAAAAAATGTTTGCATTTCATGTAATTGTACAAGCCTGATGAAGAATTGCCGAAAACATATGTTCGCTTACACAGACTTCTGATCGATCAATGGGTTTTTTCCATTCAATTTTCATGTACCATTTTCGCCATGACAACGCCGCTGGACCTGTTAGACTTTAGTTTTCTTACCCGTATAAATCCACTGTTTAATGGTAGATGCTGATTTTGGACCATCTGTATAACCTGTTCTTTCGACCACATCGTCGACTGTGATGTCGAGTATGGTCCATTTTCGTAGCACTTTCTGTCCAAATAGTCTCTGCATAACTGAAACTGAATGTACGTCGTGCAGTGGAAACTTATGCCACAATACTTCCCTAGAAGCGAACGGTTGGAACATAATCAGCAAGCCCACATCAATTTATCTATGAAGTCATCCTTTCTGAACTGTTTGTTTAACATCAAAATTTAATTCCTCCTTGCGGATTAATTTTTTTCAAATAACGTAACTCAGTGAACGTTTTTACATACAGCATCATCAAAGTACTGAGAATTCACTGAACGCAAGTGATGCTTCGTGCTTAAAATCTTGGCCCAGGATTGAAGCATACTGAACTTTCTTCTCTTCTTTGGTTTAAAATTTCTTGCCTAAGTGAACCAAAGCTACTGGACCTACGTGATCGGAAGTCAGTTTTCTGAAGTCCATATAAGTAAGCTTGGACTTAATAATGAGGCGTGTTCTTCTAGGATCCTGCATACTCTAACTCGTCAGATGCAGAGGTCATAGCTGATACTTTTGCTACGCCCTCCACTTACGCCGTTCTTTCATTGGCAGCGGCTGTTACGCAGTGCTGTGCAACCGAGCTGAATACTTCGGAGTAATTAGCAGCTAGCTTATAAGCTACGTGTTAAATAAGAACGGTGGGAAACTAAACACTTATCTCGAAGTAAAGCCTGCAGTGAATGACATGCGATCCGTCTGAAGTGAGGATGGGGATGTGCGTTAGGAATATTCAGACCGTCCTATCGATTTATCTTATCAGTTCATGCTACTCAGGTTACGATGGCCGCAGTTAAGAAGGAAACTGGTGTAATGTTTGGACTCGGCCATTAGACCTTAAGACTATCATATATGGTGGATGGTGACAAAAATTGCTTAACACGTAAAATAAGGAAGAACAAACTGTAGCTAAAATTTTACATTAGGTTGGCTACTGACAAGAGTAACTCGATAGAATGGGGGAAGCTACAAGCGGCCAATGCTCAGCAGTAATTTCTGGAACTCAATGAAATCCCCTGCAAGCTTTACACAGATCACGCCACATCTCATTTGCCGAAGCGACGAATGTCACTGCGTGTGCACAGTTCTCCTGGTGCGGAAAACTTACACGCAAGGCTATCGAAAGTGGCGGCCAGCAGCCTAGATGAACAGTTGTTCCGGTTTTACCAACACTATCTAGACGACTTGCAGGTCCCGGCCATGTGGAAGCATGGAGTAATTACTCCCATTTACAAGGTGGGCAACCAAACTGAACCGGAAAATTACTGCTCGATAGCTCTTCTCCCACTTCTTTCAAAGAACATGAAATGCGCCATGTCAATGACCCACATGGAATATTGGGAAGATGCAATCTCATCGCACTGCAGCAACACGGTTCCCGCCGCTACCGCACAAGTACCACAAACTTCTTCTTAGCTCGTGTCAGCTGGACGAAATCTATCCACGCTGGGTAGGGGGTTGACGCTGTGTACCTCGATTTCTCGAAACTGCTTGATCGTTTTGATCACAATATCCTCCTTCTCAAGCTTCAGAGCCGCGGAATCGGCGAAGCCACCCTATGTTGGATACGTGTATTACTACTTCAGATCCTAAAGGATCCAATCCACGCGTGTAGACATTTGTTGAAATTAAGTCACAACACCTGACTTTGAGGCCCTCACTTGAAGTTAGGCACACAGTACAGCCAGCTGGAATGCCGCCGGCATTCTTTTCCCTTCCTGTGCCCCAGTGGAGGAACGCCCTCACAATTTTTATTATCGCTTTCACATTGACTGAAAGCAAAACAAGATGAAGATTCCATCGCATTCGCTACAAAATTTAGCTAATGTTACTGAGACACATAATGATAAAACCAAACTATGTGCACAAGTAAAACTGCAGTGAGTCCACCGATATGCGTCACGTTTGTCCTTGTTGTTGCATTCGCATCCTGTTTTCATTCTTTACCTGCGGAAATTGTCAAGCTTTGCTTTGACTCATTGATCAGAAGTCAGTATCAAGGGTCATTTAGAAAACTCAGCAGTAATGCGAACCAAGAAAATAGCAAAACAACAGCCGTTTGGATGGCCGCAGAAATTTCTTTTCTATTTGCGTTTGTTACTCGTGGAATGCTAACCCTGAGTCGGGCGTTTCTGCACCGAGACTAGCCATGTATGAAGTCCGTTGGATGGGGCACCCATCCACTTACATTTTGTTACTTAGCACAATCTCCCCATTCCACTCTTGGGATCCACCTAGGAGTTATTAGCTGCCACTTGTTGGTGCAGTGAAACCACGCGGAGTACAGAAGTACAGCACAACAAACGAGAAGTGCTTCTTCTGATATTAAAGTTCTGACTGTCTCTAATAAATTGCAAAGTAGCGATCCATAACCCTATGAAGTTATTGTTTATTGCTACTCGTGAGTTAACTTTGGACATAAAGCATGCGATGGTTTTTTACGACAAAACTCTAATGCGAATTAAGTGAACTAATCGTTAGTACCATTGTGCTTAACTGATATTCTGAGACGACCGGGGGCAAATTTACTCTAATTACATGAAATCATTCCTTAGAAAATTCGTCCCTTCATGTCACACATGTTATTGAGAGAAATTACCATTAAGAAAGTAAATTAGCTATACTTGTGCACAAAACTTACCAAAATCTCGAAAGGGTTAAGCGCAGTGATGTGAACACTAACTTCAAACAGGATCCCCGAATATTGCGACCTAGATCCGGATGCTACGAAATCCGCTACAGGACATGGAATAAATTCACTGTTTAATCGCCGAGCAGTGGGGATCATCCAGTTCAAGTCGGGATCTGTTGAACGACACAAAACAACAGTAGGTGACGCACTTTTTATGCATATAACATCAGCGGCGCAGAAAAGTGTAAAAAATTACTATCAGCATGTTCTGGATTAGTAGCTAATTCGCCTCCTAATAATGTAACATGTTGGCGCCTTCCCCCTGAAATGTCCAAGCAACAACGGAACCGATCGTGGGCTACACTGTCGGGAGATGGCAGCACATAGAATTAGCTCGACTTCACCTACAGTCCTGGCGCCAAGAATGACAGGGATGGACTTTCAAATAAACTATGGTCCGCATGGACATTGCATATCAAAAACCGTCACATAAGTACACTCCAATATGCGCACTGCTTTTGTTTGCAGGCTAGATGAAGATGAACAAGGAACAATGATTTATCATGGGTAAAAGTGCGAGTGTTTAACCAGTCTCGTATGATGGTTAGTGTGCGAATCCAAATTCTGTAGATAACGACCTCCTTAATTTAGGCGCCCACCGATGAAGCTATAAAACGATAAATTAGAAAAGAAGGAAGCAACTGCTGTAAGGGCGCCGATGCATGATGATGGTATGAAGTCGGGAGTCGAATGCTAGTGATTAAGCCAGTGTGGATAACAGGTATAGGCAACATTTGTGGTGAGACGATAAATACACTCACTTATTTATTTCTCTTTATACACGTGAGATAAAATTGTGGTAACGGTATGTGAAAAAATATGCCGCAGTGTCACAGTTTGTGAAACCAAGCGCTGGAAGTTAAGATCGACCTACAAAATTTGGCTGGAGTTACTGAAAGTGGAACCTGAAACGACATAGTTGAGTAAAGTGTTCCGGGTTTTGTTAGCCCAAAAGTAAACCCAAATCCATCGGTACTGTAGATGGCTTTATGATTCATTAAGTTTCAAATAGCCAACTCTGAGCTAGCTATCATGAATGAACCTCAACAAACAGTTGGAATCTCATAATATTTGGTGCATTAATTTGAGCTGACCTAGTAACAGTCGACAGTTCCCACCGAATATTTAAGATACCTCCAGTTATTACTGGTGATAGAAGCTACAAGGCCCCCAGCCTTTCTTTGTAGCTGCTTGTTGTAGAGTCTCCAGCAGCTGGAGACTGCACTTTATCCAAGGTTATCAAGCTTCCAAAACAATTTCAACGTGAATGCGGAATGTAGAACATGTTTACTGTGGCGATAATTGACCCCAGCAACAGACCAGTCTGTTAGCTGCACACGTTTGCAACTGTCTGGGACTTTAAACAACTGTGCTTAGTGAATTCTCTTATGGAACTTTAGGTGCAAATCACATGATCTACGTGGTGTGTGGACTCGTATCGATCCCCGTACATTGTATAGTTGCGTTGCCTAGTCTTCTGCAAAACTGGCCTTAGTTGTCAGGCAACTTACCCAGCAATGTGATGGCGGTAGGTTCGGTTACATTTATACATACGACTATCAGGGCTTTATAGGCAGACCCCTTTTTGTTGAATTGTGAGATAATTGCGTCGCCACTGTTATAATTGAGGGAATGCCGCCTCTCGATATGGATTGCGTAATTGCCTGATAAGATTGTCGATGGCACGGTTGGAGCACGCCTACGATGACGACTTTAAACGCTGACCAATCGAACGGAGTTGCGCTGACCTGATGACGCTAGCTTAGCCGGTGAGACGGAAAATTGGACGAGCGTGTGAACGATCCTAGCCGCACTTGTTCGAATAGACGCTAAGCCTCGGAACGGACGCAAACGAGTGGGGTTATGATAGACGCGCGCTAATGACTTAGACGCGAAGGCTGGCCAGCTAACGACTCACACGCAATCACTCGACCCGACCGACTCCCAACTGAGGCGAAGAGAAAGAAAAGGCAAGTGGTCCTCTGTAGGCTCTTTTACGACCGACAAAGGGCGATCACAGCCAATGCACTGGGTTATTAAGTTAGGAAAAACAGTCACCACGAAGAGGTGGTAGTTTGCAATGACCATTGTCAAAAGGTGCGCAGTTTGGGACGCGCCTCGGAGTGGCTGAACACTGCTGCGTTGTGGGGAGAAATTGGACTCCGCTTCCCACAGCCATTATGCCGGAGTTACTGGTGTGTTTTTGCGGGGATTTTTGATGGGCCCGCAACAAATTGAAAGACCGGTGATCCTTAGGCTTGGCATTATGCTAAGTGATGATGGTCTAGTGTTTGTCACTCTATTCGCGTTAGCCTTGTTTGCAACAAAAGAGGCACGAAATGTAGCATCACATAGGCCTTTTGCAGCGACATCAGCACATGTGACAAGTCCCGAAGAATTTGAACGCAACCAGAAAATCGTGGGTTACAGATGCACCAGACTATAGTCCGGCTGTCCCATCCATTTTGCGGATACAAATTGTCAAGACCGGCTGAATTTGGTCGAAGACAGGTTTCAGGTGATGCCTGCTTTTCGTGGTCCTGAGGACAGTGTGTCAAGCAGAGCTACGGTAGGTTTTCGCCTGGCGTCCTTCCAAAATTGGAGAAGATAACAGTAATGCGTCCCTGTCAATCGTGGTTCGAGCGAAGCAAATTTTGCACCATTGCTTCTCTTCGAAGTCACGGTGCTCTCCTGGTGTACACTCACTTGCAGGATAGAACCTTACCGTTCATTCGTGCAAGTTCTCCTACTAACCGGTCGCACTTCTGGCTTAGGAGAAGTATGCATTTGACTAGTGGGATAGTCGAACACGCAGTACAAAACGAGTGATGGTCTTGTGAGCTGTTTCGTTCTCTCACCTGTTGATGGGGAATATGTGCAGATTTTGGATTGTAGCATTTGAAACCATGTGAGCAAGGTAAACTAAATTTGAGTTATTGGTTACATGCTTCGGACCCACCTTTACCCTTCGACTGGAGCCCTTTTGAATTCGCATCTACTTGACTGCTGCTACTCGGCATAGGGCTGCTACCTCGCACAAGGGGCTGTCGAGGTTGCGCACTTTTCCGACTGGTTGGTTGCGCACTCTAGTCAGACGGATGGATGCCTCAACTTCGCTCCTTGGTAGGACACGGCCCTGTGCGGTGAGAGACATGGCGGTAAAACCGACATGCCCGGAGTTGAAACGGACGCGCTACATGTTGTAAGGAGTAACCCTGTTTACTGGTCAGCGCGCTGCTCATCATAGGGCGACGCAATCGGCACGACTACAGGTATATCGATCGCCGTTGACAGTTAAACATGGTCAGCCGATGGAGATGGCCAGCTGACAAATCTCCTCCAAAACCGGTAAGATGGTAAAGTGATAAGGCGATGAAAGAATTCCTATGCTTGGCGATCCACTGGATAGAGCTGACAATTCCGAGTTGGATGAGTCGGGCTTGGGTGATGTGTGATGAAATGTGTCGCTTTGGATCCACCCGCTCGCTCAGAAGTCGAACGTGAAATAGAACTGTTGAAGTTAAATAAAGCCGCGGGACCTGATGATCTTCTTCCAGCCCTCTTCAAATTCGGGGGACTTGCTCTTGTGGATGATTTACACGAGTTACTAGTCAAACGGTGGGCGTAGGAAACTGTCCCAAGCGTCTGGAGCCGCTCCGTCATAGTCCCAATTTTCAAGGGAGGCTCACGATTGGAATGCGACAGCCATAGAAGAATCAGTCTGATTTCCATCGCCTCCAAATTGCTTATATCTGTCATCCTTCACAGACTGACTGGCACTTGTCAAAGCCAGATTCGGGAAGAGCAAGCCGGGTTTCGTCGAGGTCGAGGCTGCATTGACCACCTCTTTACTTGGTATCAGTTGTTGGAGCGCCGTCACATATATTGGCGGCCCACCGTTGTCGTGTTCCTTGATATCAAAGATGTATTCAATTCGGTGGATAAAAGTGTACTTTGGGACTGTCTACTCAGGAAATGTGTACCTGAGAGACATGTAAATATTATCCGAGCATTATATGCGCGTAGTTGGGGCAGAGTGAGGGCTTACGGCAAGCTGTCTTATCTTCAGCGGTGTGAGACAAGGATGCCTGCTGTCACCTTTCCTCTTCAACTTCGCAATTGATGAAGTCATGGTGTAGCGAGAACGACAAGACAGGGGGTAGACGTTTATTGCACATCGAAAATGGGCACATGAGGGTCTCGCGCGCGCCATCGAATATCGACTAGATTTCCGTCCCACAACGCAACACAGGTACGGATGTTAGAGACGAGCCAGTCCTTTCGCCTCGGGAGCTCTGACTTGGAAGATCCGCCTTCCTGTTTTCGCCTCGATCTCCGCTTCTCTGCACCCGATTTGGATCGGCCAGGAGTCGTTCGAGAGCTCTCGACTTGCTTGTTCTGGGCTGTGTCAATCGGCTCGGCCTCGGTCCTGTGGGCTGCGCTAGCGGCGTATTTGTCTGATTTATTGCGCTGTCCACATATTCCCGCTCCGTAGTTCCGGGCCCAGGCTCGTCGCTAGCCGTCTTTCGCGATCCGCTCTCAGCTAGCTCCGAAGAGCTCCCCAGAGCCATTCTTGGAAGCGGCCCCTCTACAATGGCAATTGCGTTTACAGGACACTACTTAGAAGGTGTGGATCTGCTCCCAGAACGACTTCTCGACTTAGATTATGCTGATGATATTGCCCTAATCTGTGACAACTCACAAACGTACCAAGCGGCACTGGACAGATTAGCACTAACTGTCCGTCACTCCGGGCTTTGCTTCGCACCCTCGAAGTGCAAAGCGCTCCTCAAAGCTTGGTCTGGACCGCCTCCTATGCTGACCGTTGGTGGGGATCATCGAAATAGCGTTCAAAAATTCAACTATCTGCGAAGTTGTATGAGCGCCGTGGGATCGAAAATGAGATCACGAACCGTATAGCAAAAGCTCGGGGCGTTTTTGCTAACCATCGCCACCCATGGCGGCGGCGCGACAACACTCGCCCTGAAGGGTAGAGTGTACAATGCAGCGGTACGTTCGACCATACTGTACTGCTGTGAAACCTGGCCCCTTAGATCAGCGGGCCTTAAGAGGCTAGTTAAGTTCGACCACCGGTGCCTTCGCCATTTAGCAC